TGGAAATAAAGCAACAATAGTTGCTTACATTTTACTTCTTAATGTTAAAATTAGCATCAAAATTCAACATGTTGCTCAGAATTTTGTAGTTTGAGGAAAGACTCATTTGAACATCAGTTTTCAGTCTCACTTGTGTGGAAAATACTAGTGTTTTGTTACAGTTACCCAAAGCTAAAGGCGTCTGTATTGTGTTCTATTGTCATAGTCCTCAATCATTTGGGTAAAATGGCTAACGTGCTCTTTTTCTTCAGGTAGACACATCGCCTGTGGTCCCTTTGTCATGCTTTGCTCGGTCTGAGCATGTGTACAGTACAGTCAGCCTCATATTATCGCACAAAGCGCGCTGTTTTAGATCTTCCGTGAAATAGTTGAAATTAAATAGGTCTGTATTTAGGGAACAATGCGAAGGGTGTTGTCTGGTATTATTCGGAGACCGCTGAGAGTTTTTTCTCGACCCCACGGCTTGACATTGAAACCTCTCCTCGGGTTTCACTCATGATCTAGATTTGCGCATGCACACAGATCGCTTTTCTGAGTGAATCTCACTAAACCTGTCAAGAACATGTCTGGGTTATATTTCACCCCGAAATCAAAAGAAGAAAATATGCCATTATATTGTGCTCAAGAATGTGAAGCTTATGGGGGAGGATCTGTAAAATCGGCACTAGTTTTGTTTGCTCCTTTTTGACACATTATTTTATTTGTATACATACAAAATCTGAGGTTGTGCATGTTTTTTTTTATGATTTAGGCTTCATTTACAGTGAATGCAGTTATGTTTATTTGAAAGTTTTTTACTAATATTATGCAAAGCATCATATTATTATATACTATCAATAGAATTATTAATAAATTTTATAAGACAAGAGTTTTATTCATATTTTAAGAATGCTTAAAAGCATCAAATAGTTTTTTGTAACAATGTGACATTTTTTTGTCTATATAATATATTGTTTTATGTAAGATAAAAAACCCGTACTATCTGTACAACATTTATCTCTTTATTTTATGATATATAATTTATTAATACAATATGAAATCCATAAAATATGCATTCTGTTTAAAATTACTATGAAAAATTTAATTATTTATTAATATATTGAGTTTATAATATTACAATGTTTATTATTTATTTTTTTATTTTTTTATTTATTTATTCATTTATTTTTATTTATAAAACCCCTAATCAGATTGGGACAGTTTGGAAAATGCAAATAAAAAAAGAAAGTAGTGATTTCCATGCTTTAACTTGTATTTCATTGCAGAAAATACAACGGACATAATTTAATGTATTCTTCATTATTTTTAAAATTGTTTTTCAAAGTAAACACATATTTCAATTTTGCTTCTTGCAACACATTTAAAAAAGTTGGAACAGTAAAACCACTTTTTATTGTTGTCATTCCTTTTCACAACACTTAAAAGATGTTTAGGGACTGAAGACACCAAGTGATGAAGTGTTTCAGGTGTAATTTTGTCGCATTCTTCCTGCAAACAATCTTAAGTTGGGTAAGAGGGTCTTCATTGTTGCATTCTGCGCTTAAAGAGCACCTACGGTGAAAAATCTTCTTTTCAAGCTGTTTGGACAGACATTTGTGTGAGTATAGTGTATAAACCATCATATTGGGGAGATATAAACACACTCAGTCCTTTTTTTTAATTTAACAACATAAAAACGGTGGACCAATTGGAGCGATTTTGAGATCGACCGCAACTTGATGTAGGAGTTTGGTCCCCCCGCCCACCAATATTGACTGACAGGCGCGCATTACCATGTCCTCAGTTTGTTGTTTCACGTCCGCCAATTTCAGCATATGAGTGGAAGCTATGTCATTAAAGGAACACCCTTGCTATATTTTTATAATAATAATAATAAATTTTATTTGTATTGCACTTTTCCAACATACATGCAACTCAAAGTGCCTCACAAACAACATTAAATAGACTACATAAACTTGTCACATATACTCAGATAAAAGCATTCATGTACATAAAATATAAGCATATATCCACATGATCACACACACTATAGTCCTTATATATGCAAGCACACCACACATACACACATAAACCTACAACAATATAGATAAAATGCATACACCTTAAAAACTTGTGTATTCATACGCAATTTTAAAAAGATGTGTCTTAACACGCTTTTTAAAAACATGAATACTAGGGGATTCTTTCACTTCAAGAGGAAGACAGTTCCAAACTTTTGGAGTATAATAGCTAAAAGAAGTGTCGCCAGATCGCATCAGGTTTACAGAGTAAAATTCTAAAAGTCCAGCGCTAGAAGAGCGTAGCAAACGGTTAGGATTATATTTTGATAAACAGTCGGAAATATAGGAAGGTGTCATGTTGTGAAGTGCTTTATAAACCAATAAAAGAATCATAGAATCTATTCTTTGGTGCACAGGTAACCAATGTAATTTTATTAATACGGGTGTGATGTGCTCTCGTTTCTTTAATTTCATTAAAACTCTTGCTGCTGCATTTTGTATCAGTTGCAACTTCATTATAGAACCCTTAGGTAAACCAGTATAAATAGCATTGCAATAATCAAGCCGAGAGAATATAAAAGCATGAATTAATTTCTTGGCATCATCAAAAGATAGGAAAGAACAAATTTTTTTAGATGTAAAGCTCATTGGGCTCAACACAAGATCAACATTCACCGCATGATCGCTGTCATCGGAATTATTGTTTGTAACTTTAGGTAGGTTTGCAAACACGTGTATTTTTCATTGCGTCTACCTTAAACTTCAGCCGTTTGCATTTCTCGCAATCACAGAAGCTCAGAAACACGCAAGTGATCTTGGGTACAGCTGAAAAGTGCGAGCGTGTTGCCTCATGTGTGCGTCTCTTGTTTGGAAATAAAATAACAATCTTGCCTGCAGGTCGCACACCAGAAACGCAGCTCGGCGATGCTCAGTGTTTTAGAATTCTAAACATAGGTTTCTATCAGGGTACACACAACAGTGCTTCAAGTCGGCGGCTGTCCGTGGCGCATAGTCACAACTTGTGACACTTTATATTTCTGCCGCACCACAGAGTGCCATCTGAATAGTTTCATTTTTAAAAAAGCGCACAGTTGGCTGTAAAACTATACAAAGACACATGTACGGCTGAATGCTGGTTTACTTACTCATGTTGCTTCTCTCTGTCTGCCTGTCTGTTGCCAAACACAAAGCAGGGGAGCTCTTGGCTCTGCCCCCTTGTTATGTTAGGCGGGAAGTCAAACCAAATTTTCACGTGAAGCAACACACCCCTAAAACAGCGAGCTGTGTACACACACCCAAAATAACACTTTTTAACACATTCTAATAAAAAAATCTGAACTGTGTGTTGAACTGAACCAAAACTGGCACACTCAGATGAACCATAATATTAATATTTAATCATAAAAAAGGGGTAAATTAGGTGCCCTTTAAAAGTGGACCACACATTCTCTATTGGAAATAGGTTGGGACTCCAGGCAAGCCAGTCAAGTACCTGTATCTTTTTCCACCGCAGCCGGGACTGTGGAGAATGTGTGCAGAATGTGGTCCCTGGATAGAAAGGCAACATACTGTGCTCCAAAATCTCTATGTACTTTTCAGCATTAATGTTGCCATCACAGAAGAGTGCAAGTTATCTTTGCCAAGGGCACTTGACCATGACAGACCCTGGCTTTTGGACTTGTTGCTGGTAACAGTCTGGATGATTGCATTTCTCCCCAAAATACCTGAAATGCTGATTCATCTGACCACAGTACAGGTTTCCACTGTTGCCTCTGAGTCCAGATAAGTCGACAGCACTTCTGGACACTGTTAATATAGGGCTTCCTTTTGGCATTGTACAATTTTAACTAGCATTTGTGGAACTACGTATTGTGGTACTTGCCAGAGGTTTGCCAAAGTAGTCCCAAGCCCATGTGGTGACGTTGCTTATAGATGAATGAGGATTCTTGACAAGTCGGAGATTACGGTTGTTCAGCTTAGGTTTGCACCCTTGTCCTTTACACATTAAAATTCTTCAGATTCCTTGAGTCTTTTAATGATGTTCTGCACTGTTGAAGATGAAATATCCAAATGTCTTCATATCTTTCTTTGTAGAGCATTGTTTTTTAACCATCTCTATAATTTTTTCATGTATTTGTTGGCAAACTGGTAATCCTCAGCCCATTTTTGCTCCTGAAGGACTAGACCAGGGATGGACAAACTTGATCCTCGAGGGCCGGTGTCCCTGCAGAGTTTTGTTCCAACACTAGTCAAACACACCCGAACAAACTAATCAGTGTCATCAAGATCACTAGAAATCTATAAGCAGTTGTGTTTGATTAGAGTTGGAGCTAAACTGTGCAGGACACCGGCCCTCCAGGACCGAGTTTGCCCATCACTGGACTAGAACTTTCTTGGATGTTGCTTTTGTACCAAAAAAAAAGTCAAAGCTAACATAGAAATCACTACTTTCTTTTTTTTATTTGCGTTTTCCATACTGTCCCAACTGTTTCTGATTTGGGGTTGTGCTTTTATTTTATAATGTATGTCAGTATTTTAACAACAATTGCATTATTAAACCTTTTTTTTAAGTGGCTTTTCAATTTTAGGAACTTTTTTTAAGGTCTTTTTTTTTTTTTTTTTTTTTTGGTGTTCCGCATACCACAACCTTTCAACATCACTACATCTCACACACACTTCAGCCTGAAGAGATGCCTGACAAAACCTCTGCAATAAACTCCCAATAAACCAACAATGGGCGTCCCCGTGGGCCTTTCTGATTCAAATACTGAGCCCTTCGGGGGCCCCGAAGCAGAAGGCTGTCCATTGATCCCGTGAGAGTCAGTGAGATTATTGCCTGTGTAAGATAGACTCTCTCAAAAGGAGCTTGGCCTTTGTTCAGCACACACACACACACACTGTGATCATTATTTCATCTCAGCCTCTTGTTAGTCCACATTGGTGCTTTTCTTCAGCCCTTCCCTTCCTCAGTAGTGAGATATCTCGTGTTAATCCTCGCAGGAATGTGGCTTTGGCTATGGGGAGGATGCCCAGTGTGTGCCCTGCAGAGCCAGTCGCTTCAAAGAGGACCGCAGCCTGCAGAAATGCAAGCCCTGTCTGGACTGCTCGCTGCTCAACCGCTTCCAGAAGGGGAACTGCTCCACTACAAACAACGCCGTGTGTGGAGACTGTCTGCCCGGGTGAGTGAGTCACACACACATACATATAGTGTAAAGGAACATGGGCGTTTCTCAAACTTAAAGCCATAGGAACATTCACTTGCCATTCGCAAGTTTTTCCAAATCTGTTAGGAGTTTTGTTTTTCTTGAACAAAAAAGAAGATATTTTGGAGAATGTTGAAAAGCGCGTTAGGGTTACACTGTTAAAAATTGAGTGCGGAATCTACAGTAACTTACTGATAGCAGTTCGCCAGTTACTTACTGTAAATCAATTACAGCGAAAATACTGTATTTACATTTACAGCTCTATTTATTTTGCTGTATATTTACACTATTGTGTATCTTTACTGTAAAACAGAATAATATTCATAATGCCACTTTAAAATACGGTAACATGCTGCATAACAGTCCTACAGTAAAATACAGTTCATATTACAGTTCATTACTGTGTAATATGTAAAAATCTTTAACAGTGAAGGGTTGAGACCAGCAAATACTATGGAAGTCAATGGCTCGAGGTTTCTGGCATTTTTCAAAATATCTTCTTTTGTGTTCAACAGAAGAAAGAAGTTCAAACAAGTTAAGGGTGAGTAAATGATGTCAGAATGTTTATGTTTGGGTGAACTATCCCTTTAAATCAGTCTACGTCACTCTAAAAGATACAATTTGGCTGGAAATTACAATTTGTTGTTAATTTTCTTAATTCAAGCAGGTTCAGAGCAAGGAAAGTTTGAGTAAATGTCAGAGGTATTGTGTTTGGGTGAACTATTCCTTTAAAGCAGTCTATACGGCACTTTAAAAGAGACAGTTTAGCAGAAAATGAAAATTTGGTGTGAATTTTCTTTTCTCAAGCAGGTTCAGAACAAGGAAAGTGTGAGTAAATATTGTCAGAGGTTTTGTTTTTGGTTGAACCCTCTTTAGATCAGTCTATACGGCACTCTAAAAGAGACAGTTTAGCAGGAAATCACAATTTGTTGTTAATTTTCTTAACTCAAGCAGGTTTAGAGCAAGTAAAGTGTGAGTAAATGTCAGTTTTAGTTTTTTGGTGAACTATCCCTTTAAATAAGTCTATACTGCACTCTAAAAGAGACAGTTTGGCTGAAAATTACAATTTGGTGTTTATTTTCTTTACTCGAGCAGGTTCAAAACAAGTAAAGTGTGAGTAAATGGGTGAACTATCCCTTTGAATCAGTCTATACAGCACTCTAAATCAAACAGTTTAGCAAGAAAATTACAATTTGTTGTTAATTTTCTTAACTCAAGCAGGTTTAGAGCAAGTAAAGTGTGAGTAAATGTCAGAGTTTTCGTTATTTGGTGAACTATCCCTTTAAATAAGTCTATACGGCACACTAAAAGAGACAGTTTGGCTGAAAATTTTAATTTGGTGTTAATTTTCTTTACTCAAGCAGGTTCAGAGCAAGTAAAGGGTGAGTTAATGAAGGCAAAGTTTTATTGTTTTTGGATGAACTATCCCTTTAAATCAGTCTATACGGCACACTAAAAGAGACAGTTTGGCTGAAAATTTTAATTTGGTGTTAATTTTCTTTACTCAAGCAGGTTCAGAGCAAGTAAAGGGTGAGTTAATGAAGGCAAAGTTTTATTGTTTTTGGATGAACTATCCCTTTAAATCAGTCTATACGGCACTCTAAAAGAGACAGTTTGCCTGGAAATGAAAGTTTGGTGTTAATTCTCTCACTGCCAGTTGCACAATCAATGTGACTTTTTTCCTTGATGGAATGTTAAAAAAGATTTTGAAGTGAAATCATGGTTCTTGATCATTCATAAAATGCAATGGATTGGGCGTTGCGTTGAGAGTCCAGAAACATTTTGAATTTATACCTGTGGCTCCTGATGACACAGGGAAATCGGTTTATGCTGTTCACTAAAAAGAGCTGATTCAAAAGAATCGTTCATTTTTGAGCCAGATCTCACTCTGGGGTGCGTTTCCAAAAGTCATCAATACAATTATATGTATAATTTGTGCCTTTCCAACGAACATTCGCAAACTATGTCGCAAATTTGTGCGGTTAAAGTACTCCTCTATAGCTGTAGTTAGAAGGATGTGTTCTATTCTATGAGTTATCCCCCTATGCCGTATATTGTATCTTTCAACATTTGTTCAATATACATTTCAACATCCATTTTTAATTGATTAATAAAAAAGCGTAAAGATGTCTCTCTCATGTGTAATTGATGTAGCTTTCAGTTATTTTTTTGCAGTTCAGTTTTAGCGAACTTCAGATTGACAATTGCCATCCCTTTGTAGTGCACTTCAAAATCATTTATAAGATTTTAGACCAGCCGTATCACATACCAAAAGCTATAAGACCAAAAAATAGGATTTCTGAAGCTAAATCCTAATTATGGAAACAAATACATTAAAGTAGTTTTTACATCATAATTTGGCCATATACAGTTGAAGTCAGAATTATTAGCCCCCCTTAGATTTTTTTATTTTCTTTTTAAATATTTCCCAAATTATGTTTAACAGAGCAGGGAAACTTTCACAGTGTGTCTGATAATATTTTATCTTCTGGAGAAAGTCTTATTTGTTTTATTTCGGCTAGAATAAAAGAGTTTTTCATTTTTTAAACACCATTTTAAGGTCAAAATTATTAGCCCCTTTAATCTAAATGTTTTTTCGATAGTCTACAGAACGAACCATTGCTATACAATAATCACTCTAACCTGCCTAGTTAACCTAATTAACCTAGTTAAGCCTTTAAATGTCACTTTAAGCTGTATAAAAAATGAAAAATAGCCAAATAGTATTTACTCTCATCATGACTAAGATAAAATAAATCAGTAATTAGAAATAAGTTATTGAAACTATTGTGTTTAGAAATGTGTTTTCTATGTTAAACAGTAATTGGGGAAAAAAGAAACAGGGTGGGCAAATAAGTCAGGGGGGCTAATAATTTTGACTTCAACTATATGATTTATAAGCTATTTAAGATTAGCCTACATGTTTGCTATTGTAAGTGGTTTTATGTTTTAGAATAGAATAGGGAATATTCTCCATAATGTTTGTAAAGAAATATAGGCCCTGCATGTGGCATTCACATTAATATGGAAAACAAATGCACATTTTTACCAAAACTAATATTGGATTTAAAAAAAATGTGTGTGTCGGTGTGTGTGTGCACGTGTAAAACATGGTGAGTAAATCATTTGTTAAAATGCAATGCAGATTTAATGCAAATCTTCTCTAAAGAAGTTGTTACTCCGCCTCATTTAGAGCATCATTACAGATGTTTTACGTTACAAATAGCATGGTTCAATCGACAAATCTGCGACAGAGCAACTACGATTTTGGGAAACACATCACTGCATCCTACTATGGTAGCTCAGCTGTGAGTTATGTCATTGTTTGGGAAACGCATGCCAAGACAGTTTGCAGAGGCTAAAGATTATAATGTCACAAATATCGTTCAGTTTCTTTCACAGACATTTCAAAAGACCTCAGTGTTTCATTTTAGTTTGGCGTTTTAAATATTTACAGTTTTTATCTTTAAAAAAGTGCTGGTAGCTATTTTACTTGTATCTTATGAATAACCAAAAAGCATAGCCTTACAGCCTAAAATCTTCAACTGAAGAAGAAAGTCGTCTGCAACTTGAATAACCTCGAGGAGAGCAAAATAAAAGCACTTTTTTTTGTGAATAATAAAGATTCAAATGGAAGATGATGAAGTGATGGCCTTTCAGTTGGATGTATATCAACATAATAAAATATAAGTCTCAGCAACTTCCAGTTTAACATTATTCCAACCTTAAATATCATTGCCTTTAACTACATTTTCCTTGATGCTACTCAAAAAAGTCAGCTAATGCCATAACTCTTTAGCTCTTCACTTCTGAATAAGATCAATCTTCACTACTTTGTTTGTCGACTTGCATTATATTATTTCTACATATCAACAATCCTAAATGTGCAGTTTGTAATGTTGATTCATAGCTTATAATGGTTTATTGAAAACAGTATATTACCTTAATAGCTGTAAATAGTTCATTTCAACCTATTTATTTATTTATTTTTTTCCAGAATTTAAAGCCCTTCAGATTTGTGTAAGACCACTGTTTAAATTCGTCTGACTAGAGTTACACACTTTATCCCTCCAGCCCAAAGTGAAGCAGAAGACTTCACTGTTTAAAGTCCAGCTTAGGGAACTCATCTCTAGGCCTTCAACTGAGCCCAGACTTGCCCGGAAAGCTGAAACATGTCAGGTTTGAGAAGAGCTGCTCGTCTCGATCTCTGCGAGAGTTTACTCGTTTCTCTATAGCAGCATCCTGCTCTCGCCAGATGAGTTTCTTAATAACTGTTGATTACCCATAATTAAGTGCTTTGGCACAGTCAGACATGCTGAAGGCAACTCTTCACATTACTGTCACCGTTCGCCTACATCATTTGACAAAAATGTGTTCTTACGGCTGTTACTGTAAGCAGTGCTGCAGTCTTTCTCGCATTTTAACAGTCTCTGATGTTGAGTTATTATTTAAAGATTGACAATCCTTTCATGGTCATACACTGGTTCAGTAATTATTTAAAGATTGACAATCCTTTCATGGTCATACACTGGTCCAGCAAGAACCAGTACGGAACCAGTATGAAGTAGCATAAACGAGGATAAAAACACACAGTGCTGACATAAGCATTCAACACGTCACCGTTTTTTTTTTTTTCAGAAAACCTGTTTATAAAGGTGCTGTTTACTTGAATTTTCACCAGATGTTGGTAAGAATTAAAAAAATTCATATAGGCAAAGAAAACACATGTAATTAGTTTACAAATGAAGTTGTGTAGCAAAATGAAATGACACAGGAAAAAAGTATTGAACACATGAAAAGGGGAGGTGTGGAAAGTCAGTGAAAGCCCAGACAGCAGCTGAAATCTCTCAGTAGTTCTTCAGCAACCCTCTGCCCTTCGTCAGCTGTTTAACATCTACATTAGCAGGATGATGAAGATGAAACCAGAGTGGACATTGCAGCGGCAATGATCCAAAACACTGCCAAGGAGACTCTCATAAGCTTTCAGAGAAAGAAAATCAAGCTGTAGAATGGCCCAGCCAATCACCTGACTTGAATCCAGTATAGAATACAAATTAAAGATCAGATTTGATAGACAAATCTCCCAGAATCATCAAGATTTCTGTGAAAAATGTCATCTGAGCAATGCATGTGACTTCATTCTCCATATCAGAGACTTCTTTAAGTTGTCTTCTTTTAGATATTGTGCTCTATTCAAAAGAGGGCGGAGCTACAAACGCCTGTGCATCAGTATAGCGGCAGATTAAAAACAGTACTAATGGCTGCTTCTCATTTAGGGCTGTCTATGCTAATGAGGGAGAGATTGTGACTAATGGGCAGTGCTTTCCCCCTCTGATTAAACGTAGAGAGGGAGAATGACAATCAAAGTGTTTCTGCAGACTGTTTTTATGAAATTTGATTATTAAAAAATGTATTTGTACCATTAGCGGCTGGCTATATTCACAAACTGTTGAAACACAACTGTGTTTAAACCACTTTAAAAGTGATTTTTGCATAATATCCCAGATATCAAAGAATTCTGGCCCAGTTTTGGCTTAAAGCTGGTGTGAACATAGCTTATTAGTAGGGCTGCACAATATATCATTTCAGCATCAATATCGCAGTGTGATTATTCCCAATAGTCACATCGCAGGATCTGCAATGTCGAGTCTAGATTATAATAAATTGTTTGCATGTGTCTTTGAGGCCTGTGACTACATCAGCATTTTTAATAGCATTCTGGCATTGTAACGCTCATAAGGTTTAATTTTACTGAATTTTTTATATAACTAAGACTATGCAGTAATATTTTACTGCTGATTATTTAATTACTGTACCTTAATATTGTAAAAGCAATAACAAATGGTTCATTTAATTTTAATCTTTTCTTTAGCTATGCTGATACACCTACAGAATTATCTCAATCAATCATTTAAAAAGAGCAATTCTTTCCAAATAAAGTTATTTAAGTCATCTGGTGAAATTGCATTAAAATCACAAATATATATATATATATATATATATATATATATATATATATATATATATATATATATATATATATAGCAGAATTAATGAAATATGGCAATGTCAGATTCATCCAATACGGTGCAGCCCTGATTATTACACAACTCTTCGAAATGCTTGCTTCTGATTGGTCAATCATGACATTACAAAGGTATGTTGTGTAAGGGTTAAAGACACATTCCGGAGGACATTCTCTTGAAATTACATTGAAAAGTCTTACTAAAAAGTCTCTTTTGATCAATTGTATGCACATTCAGTGAACCCGGTATCAGGTCTGTGACGTCATCAACTTTCACTTTAAGATTTAAAGGGCTAGCATATCTATATATCTATATTTTATGCACACATGCATCACTTTGGTTTTTATTCTACTGTACAAAAGTTATTTACATTTAAATACACAGTATTTTGGATACCCGAGCTGGGCATTGAACATTGGTTCATTTTCATATGGTTCATATATGACACATGTACAAGTTATAGCTCAAATGAAAGCTCTTGCCGGTGCTCATATGGTTCTAGCATTCTTTTTACTGAATTATATTCACATATCAAACAGTTGCCAAATGAATCGTGGTGTTTCCATGGCGCAGAAGTGACAACAATACATTTATGATCAATAAGCAGCCCCAGATAGCACAGACAACTGTCATCTCTTACCTTATGCTGTGTGCTTCAGGGCCACTTCCCCTCTGTTTTTGAGGTGATGTGCATAAGTAATCTTTTTTATATGTCTGATGTGGTCCAAACACAGGGAATTAGTTTGATCAAACAAAAGAATAGTGAAATATGAAAATGATGGATCTGCATGATTTGGGAAGCTTTTAAATTTTTAAATTTTTTTTTTAAATTTTTAAAATTTGGGTAGGCAAAATCCAGGCAGAAATCCCAAAATAGCACTGAAGTTTATGGTGCTGTGTGGAAGTATAAATTAACTGTATTAATTTAATTCAAAGTTTTGAATTAATTACAAATTTAAAGGAACATTTCACCCAAAAATGAAAATTCTGTCATCATTTATTGTACGCATATGAGTTTCCTTCTTCTGTTGAACACATAATAAGATATTTTAAAGCCAATGACTTTCATGTCATTTAATCCTCTTAAAAGATTATTGAATGAATTAGTAAGTGAAACAGTTAAGATGAGCAGTTTTAACCTATATATGAAATCACTCTTTCAGGTTTTACAGAAAGACAAAGTTACGTGGATTTCAGGATATGGAGTGTATCCCGTGTGGAGATCCACCACCACCATATGAAACTCACTGTAAGCACTTTTATTCACTATATTTGATGATTTTTATTCCTCAGGTATAACGGTCAAGATATTAGATCTTATTATAATTGAATCAGAATTCCTGTATAAATTAATGTTAAAATTAATTAATTAAATAGATAAATTAATTAAAGTATTTAAATGTTTTATTAACCAGAAAGTACATATCATGTCATTGTTTACATTTGCTCTGTAAAATTTTAGCAATTATTATTATTATCATTTTAAATAGTGAGTTTTTTTTTGTTTGATAAGAAAACAAAATAATTTTTCATAGTTGTTCAGAAAACACCTGAACAGCGGTAAATAATATCAAAACCACAGACTGTAAAACCTCCTATAGAAACACTTTCTCTCTCTCTTTCTCTCTTACTCTCTCTCTCTCTCTCTCTCTCTCTCCCCCTACATATATATTTATATATATATCGTTATATTATACAAATATGTTGTCACAATAAACAAGTTAATTAAAGAAAATGATTAATAAAACTATATAATATTAAATTATAAGAACCAAGAGCTTTAATAGGGATAAGGGGGTTTAGCCTTTTTCTCTCATATGGTGGCATGAGGACACGTACTGTGCTGCTAGGTTGAGATACTTTTCATTTTCTCCCAAAATATAATGGAGTTTCTCCATATTTGTGGCTTGCTGGAATTGTGGTTGAATGAGAGCTATGTGTGTGAAGTAAGCATCTCTGATATTTGCTGCAGTGAGTAAGGAAATACAGCTCATGCCTAGTTCTGCTCTGCAACCAAGGCTAGGTGTTCTTCTGTGAACTTTGAGGATGTTTTTGCAAAATTCTAGATGAAAGATTTCAACTGGACTTTTTTCCCAAGATTCATAGTTTAATTTAAATGTGGGTCCCCAGAGTTCACAGCCATACAGCAGGACTGGCTTTACAATGGTGTCAAATATTTTCAATCACAGTTTAATGGGTGGGTTAAAATTTAAAAAGTTTTTTTTTTTTTAAATACAATAAATATCTCTTAGGACAAGTCACTTTGTGTCTTGTTGAATCACTAAATGCCTTCTCATTTGTAAGTCACTTTGGACAAAAGTGTCTACTAAATGACTAAATGTGAATGTAATGTAGCTTTTCTAGTTAAACTAGAACTGTGTTTATCTAATTTACACTCACCTGCCACTTTATTAGGTACACCTGTCCAACTGCTCGTTAACGCAAATTTTTAATAAGCCAATCACATGGCAGCAACTCGATGCACTTAGGCATGTAGACACTTAGGCATGTAGACTAGTCTGAGTATTTCAGAAACGGATGATCTACTTGGATTTTCATGCACAACTATCTCTAGGGTTTACAGAGAAAGGTTTAAAAAAAAAAAAAAAAAAAAATATATATATATATATATATATATATATATATATGTATGTATGTATGAATATATATATATATATATATATATATATTTATATATATATATATATATATATATATATATATATATATATGTATATATATATATATGTATGTATGTATGAATATATATATATATATGTATATATATATGTATGTATGTATGAATATATATATATGTACACAGCGACGGGCAGTTCTGTGGGTGCAAATGCCTTGTTAATGCCAGAGGTCAGAGGAGAATGGCCAGACTGGTTCAAGCTGATAAAAAGACAACAGTAAGTCAAATAACCACTTGTAGCAACAAAGAAGAGCATCAGAGCTACAGCAGCTGAAGACCACACTGGGTGCCACTTCTGTCAGCTAAGAACAGGAAAATGCTACAATTCACACAGGCTCACCAAAATTGGACAATAGAAGATTAGAAAAATGTTGCCTGGTCTGATGAGTCTCGATTTCTGCTGCGACGTAAGGATGCTCGGGTCAGAATTTGGCATCAACAACATGAAAGCATGGATCCATCCTGCCTTGTAGCAATCGTTCAGGCTGCTGGTGGTGGTGTAATGGTGTGGGGGACATTTTCTTGGCCCACTTTGGGCCAATTAGTACCAGTTGAGCATCGTGTCAACACCACTGAGTATTGCTGCTGACCATATCCATCTCTTTATGACCATAGTGTACCTATATCTACTTTCAGCAGGATCTCGCTCCATGTCAAAAAGAACAAATCCTCTCAGACTGGTTTCTTGAACATGACATTGAGTTCACTGTACTTAAATGGCCTCCCCAGTCAAACAAATCTGCAGCAACTGCGTGATGCTATCATCTCAATATGGACCAAAATCTCGGAGGAATATTTCCAGTACCTTGTTAAATCTAACTCACAACTTAAAGGAAATCATTCTTGTCGGTTTTATCAAAGTGATTTTGCCAAGTTTATTTAAATTTCTTTTTAGGTGGGTATTATTCACTAAACTTTAGTGTTCAATATAATGAGCTTTAATGTCCCATGATTATCTTTTCCAAAACCATTAAAGCACCTATCAACCTTCCAAAAACAGCCCAAAACTGATTCCGATGAGTTGCGCACCTTTATATTCAAGCTTTATATCGAAATACACTGCGCCAGTTTGAATACGTGACTTTGTTTCAGGTGTTTATGGCATCAGTTTACAATGTTCACGTTCACTTATGAAAAGACACGATCAGGCTGGTGATGACAGGTTATTTTGGGGTAATCCTTTAAAAGGGGTTGTCACACAAACAGTTGCATTAATAATAATCTGTGCGATGACGAGTCGCTCGGCGCTGGTGATTCACACTGCTGCGTTTTACAGTGCCTTTTTACAAGTCAGAACACAGGCTTGGGTCGTTGGAGGCTCTCAGTGGCATGGTAAACACAAAGCGCTGTATTGTTCTCCATTTCTCTGCGCTGCAAATTGGGCTGGTTTCAAGGGAGAGACTCATCAAGAGCTCATGCTGCTGAAAATGAAGTGTGACGGCCAGAGTTTCAGATGCCCACAGCTGCTGGATTGTGTGGCTTTTGACTTTTAAGATGCTGTGCATAGAGATTTCAGGTCATTTCAAGAGTCTGAGCTCGGCGTGGAATCTGAACTCTGCCTTATGTTGTTTTTGGATTTGAAAAGTTTATAATAGTTTATAATAGGACACATGTGCCATCTGGGGTTTATCAGATTTTAGCATTTAGTTTTTATAGTTAACATATATAAATATATTTATAAATGTATGTAATTTTCTTTAATAATTTATTTGTTTGTTTGTTTGTTGTTTGTTTGTTTTTGTCATATGATATTAATTTTAAGAACTGCCAGAAAAGAAGAATAGTAACTGCCAGACAAATAAAATAAAAGGTAGTGTACAATGTAACATAAAGAATTTAGAATTTATAGAATTTATAGAATTTATATATATATACACGGAATTTATATATATATATATATATATATATATATATATATATATATATATATATACAGAACAATTTATTTATTAACTGCCAAAATAAATAATAATGATAATGTAACTAAGAATTCAAGAACAAAAAAAGTACTCAAAAATACCTATTTATTTATTTATTTATTTATTATTTTTATTTATTTATTTATTTATTTATAAGTCATATTCATTTATTTTTTAACCATTTGAAAATAATAATAAACAAGAATATTTGTTTATTTATGTATTTATGAATCAAAAAATATTTGAGTCATTGAAAAAATAAAGGATATTTATTTATTTATTTCCTTATAAATAATATACATTTATTTATGAGTCATTGCAAAAATAATAGAATACTATTTATTTATTTGTTTGTTTCATTATCTATCTATTTATTTATTTACGATTAAAAAATATTTACGAGTCGTTAAAAAAATTAAGAAAGAATATTAATGAATTAATGAATTTATGAGTTATACATTTTTATGAGTCATTGGAGAAAAAAAGGAAATAATATTTATTTATTATATATATATATGTTTATTTATGAGTCATTGACAAAATAGAGAAAAATATTTATTTATTTATTAATTTATTAATCTATATTTATTTATGAGTCAAATAAATTTATCAGTCATAAAAATAGAGAATATTTATTTATTTATTTATATATGTCTTTATGTTTGTATTTATTTGTTTAATTTTATAGGAGTTTATTTTAGGAATTGCAAGACAAATAAAATTAAAAAGTAAACAAAGACTTAAAGAATACAAAAAAGTACCTATTTATACATTTTTATCAGTTATAGAAATTTCATTTAAGATCTGCCAATAATATTAAATAAAATACAGAATTTAGGATTACAGTACAGAATAAAATACTTTGTATACTGAAAATGTTTTTTTTTGTTGCCATACTTTAATAAATAGAATAAAATACAATTAAAACAAATCAAATTATGATAATGATGATGATGAAGATGATGTTTATGATAATGACAACTTTGTCAAATTGAAAGTGAAAGCAAGAGAATAATAGTGAACTCCACACACAGCAAATCTCTGAATGCTAAATAATTGACATTAAAATAGGGTTTGTCATTTGTTAGAAAAGTATGAACAAGTTGCAGACATCAGAATAAGACATTTTGCTTAATTAGTGCCAATAATTGGTCAGTAACACTTCAGAATAATGATCCATTAGTTTTACTAACATTAACTGCAAATGAATGATCTTGCAAACCTTTTATTAAATATAGCTCAGCATTATCTAATGCATTATTAAAAGTTGTGCTTGTTAACAATAGTTAATGCACAGTGAGTTAAGATTAACTAATGTTAAACAAGATGAATAAATACCATTCAAAATATATTGGTAAGCGTTTGTTCATGTTAGTAAATATAACATTAACAAATTTACCAATATTTTAAAGTGTTACCAAATTATTGTTTTATTTAAACTGAGGTAGAAGTTTAGAGTTCCAGTTTTCCCAGCACATCAAACATGCTCCTGTTTAAAATGCACAGAAAAGCAGATTTTCTTCAGCGCTATCAATGATGCAGGATCTCCTCTGGCATTATTAGACACCGGCTGCTGAAAACTCAAAGATCTGATGCTTTTAATGACTTTTCGTGGGCCCGGGGCAAACACGC